TAGTGGTAGTGGTAGTGGTAGTATAGAACAAGAAGAGCGGTCGCAGAAATCATGAGAAAGTGTCCAACAATGACCACAGCTGTACCATTTGTTTAGGAACAACCCTCTTAGCCAGGGTGGCGATGCGAGGAAGCCGAGTGGGAGTAAAAGCAACAGTGACAATAAGAAGAGCAATGGTAATAAGAAACACCGGTGACTTCATGGCCCTTCATGGCCCCTCATAAACCCCTGGGACTGAGACGTGTGGTTTTACATATAAAACTCCATGGCTTCGGTCATACTGCTCCTTACGTGGATTCTCAACTTCATTCAGCATCCTCAGCATCATCACAACAGCATCGTGCTCATCATCATCATCATCATCACCATCGTCTTCATTAGCTAGGGGACTACTTTTTTGGGGAACTCAGCTTCACCGTGGTCGTGATCCTCGCCAACAAACTCGAGGCACTACTATCATGCTGGCAGCATTCTGGTTCGTTGCTCCTCTCGCTCCTCATACTCCTATCGACCCTGCTGACACAACAAATCGAACAAACTCTTGTCTTATTCGCAGAAGGCCGAAACCCTAAGTCAAAATCGACGTACATACATGCATGATCATGCATGCATATATTCATGCATGCCTGCATGCATGCGTGCATGCATACATACTGGTACTGTCAGCTATACCAAGTACTTGTTGGAAAGGCCGAGATGCCGTGGAGAGCAGCAGCTCTGCTGCTGCACCAAGCCGTGCAGCATGGGAGGCAGAAGCGCGGCCCAAACAGCCTTGGATCCCTGGGTTTAGGGTTTGGAACCTAGGATTTAGGGTTTAGAACCCGAGGTTTAGGGTTTAGAATCCTAGGTGTAGCGATTAGAATCTAAAGCCGACAGCCCAAAACTGAACAAGATCATCCGTGGCCTGAGGTATAGACTATGCGAATTTCTTTTCAGAGCCTGTCTTAAACTGTATCCGCTCTCTCCCCGTTGAATGAGGCTGGAAACTGGAAAGCCGTGAAAAACCTAGCAGCCTAGGCCACGGTCCCTCAGTTTTTAGGGGCTTCAAGTCGAGGTACCGAAAAAGCACAGCAGTCGCCCTCGATGAGCAGCCTGTGCAGAGGTTCTCAGGACACGCAACAACATGAAATGCAACAGAAAACATTTCGGCATGCACCTCGGACTGCAACACAAAAATGTTCTAAGATACGTCTCCCGGTGGGACCCCCTCTTCCCTCGAAGCCGGCACTGCAAGAGGCCTCCTCCGCCTCCTGCCAGTGGTGCAGCACCCGCGAAGCATGCTTGGGGGTTGGAGGGCTGCAGAAGAAACACTCGAATGCTAGAAAACCTGCTCATGCAGTTCAACAACATCGCCGACCTCGGGACATATGACATCTATGAGTGAAGCACTCGGCTTGCCTCTAAGTCCAGCTTTGCAGAGTCCGCGACTTCCGCACTGGGCTTGCCAGCGGGGTGATGGAAGACCTGCACAAGAATCAGAAACCCAATACACCTTAAATAAGGTTACCTTAAACTATGGGGCTCTCTGGCTATAAGAAATGAAGCACAAAAGTCCAACCAGGAGCTGCGCACCTCGAGCATCATGGAGGTCAGTGCCCAAGTCGACTCGATGGTGATCTCTCTATCGGCCTCAGATGCTCTCTCAGCACCGTACAAAAGCAGAAAGAAGACACATTCTCGTTCGCCAGGAAACACCATACAGCATCATCATGGCAATCTTCTCGGACAGCTTCCTCCATTGACAGGAATATCTGTAAATGACATGGCTTCCGGCATGTGAACACAGGCGCCGCACTACATGTGTGCCGACTACAGCTACATGAAAAGATGTAGCCCAGCTTGGCTGCCATGCTAGATATCTAGACCTATTGCTTCTCCTCCCAAGCGACGACACCCTTTGCAGCTTGTGGCTTGCGGGCCCGTGTTATGTTGCACTACAGCCTACGTATATGGGCTTTGCAACTCCCCGCCCTACATTGGCAAAACAGTGCAACCACTAGCTCTCCAGGCTCGCAGCAAACCCCTGACGATCCCGACAGAGTGAGCATTCGAGACTGCTCTGGACCCATGTCCCGCCTGCGTAAGGGTGGCGACACGGCCTGCCAGCAGAGTCGATATTCACGACACAAGCAGGCATGGACACATTGCACTGCTGGCCCAGGGGAAGCGTTACAGCCTTTCAGCCAAGACATGCCAACAAAACAGGAGAAAATGCTTACCCTCTGGGTGGCATACTTCACGTTTTTGTCAGAAGCGTTGTTGCAAAAACCGCTGCAGCACCTGCGCCTTCCGCAGAGCCGCAAGCAGAGCTGCGGACTTCGCCGCCGGGTCGGGAAACCACTCACTCGCCCCTGGGAAAGCAGGGTTTAGGGTCTAGGCGTCTAGGCTGTAGGGATTTACAGAATGACTTTAAAGCTTGGAGCCCTTTCCTTTGACTTCTTTGCTTGGCTTTACATCTGGAGCCTCTGTTGGCGCACGTCCGCGGCACTCATCTGTCCAAGTCTTTCAGCATGTCTACTCTTGGGACTCTATCGCTTCAAGAATCACCACTACTTTCAGAAATCGCCTGTGGAAACAATCTCGTCACCTAGGGACTTAGTGGCTTCGAGGCTTCATAAAGATCTGTTCTAGCTAGTGTAAACATAGTGTAAGCATAATGCCCTATGCATTCGTCAAGGCTTTGTTCGTTGAAGTGGTGTTCACCACGTCTGTAGATCAAGGCGGTAGTGGAGAGCATTCTCATTAGGCTCGCTGCTGAAGTTGCTGAAATTAGCTTAGACTCCACTGTGCAGCAGCAAGACGTCGGACAGGAACATGGCGCAGGTCTGCGAGATGAGTTCCTCAGCAAGCCACCGACTACTAACACTGCTACTGACTGCTGCTACTGCTACTACTACTACTACTACTACTACTTCTGCTGCTGCTACTACTACTACTACTACTACTACTACTGCTACTTCTACTTTTCTACTTTTCTACTTCTCTACTTCTCTACTTCTCTACTTCTACTTCTACTTCTACTTCTACTTCTACTTCTACTTCTACTTCTACTTCTACTTCCTGCTGCTGCTGCTGCTGCTGCTACTACTACTACTACTACTACTACTACGTAGCAGCACCACCACACCAAAATACTACACAAACAAAACTACTAAACTGCCAAACTACTACAGCTCCTGCTCCTGCTGCTGCTCCTGCTGCTGCTATTTTGGTGACAACGACTGCAACTACGTCCACCACCACTACCACCGCCTCTGCCTCTGCCAGTACCGGAACAACTACAACCCTGCTGCCACCGATACTTCGCTCCCGACAGAACGACGGCTCCTACCTCTTTTGGTACTGATAGTGAGTGCTTCTGCGCTACCAATGCTGCTGCTGCAGCCTTCACAGCTGCTCCGGCTACTGCAACTGCTACAGACTCTTCTACTGCTGCCAATGTCTCTCTGTGCTGCCTCTGCTACGACTGCTACCACTGCGGCGACGACTGCTCCTACTATTCCCTTTAAGCTACTTCTACTCCAACTCCTTCTCCTGCTCCACCTCCCCCCTACTACTATCAGATCTATCATCACCACGAAGAACAGAACAACAACAACCACAAACATCTTGGCAACTCACTACCCTAACTCTTGCTATTCATGCTTTTCTCGCCCAAGAATCTGCCTCCCGCCCCGACCGACTCCCAAACCGTCGGAGCAGGGACAGGAAGAAGGGCCAGTGAGTGGAGGCAACTTCCGGCTCCACAGAGGTGAGTAAAGCCATGCACCTCGCCAGATCGAAAAGCAGTGCCAACCTTAAACTCCCAAGAAAACACAATAATAGTAACGATTCTGTAGCTCAACGCGGGACAAAGCGAATCTGGAAGTGCCTCTAACAGTTTGACGAAGGCTGGCAGCGAATGGCACGTAGTAGTGCAAGGGCGATGTTGCTGAATAGCCGCATACGGCAGAGCCTGTGTTAACCGCTACAAGTAAAGCCTAGACCCAAAACGCGAGCCTGATGGCCAGCATGCGGTGGCGAGACCAGCTCGCTCCAAGCAGTGGCTCGGCAGCGTCCGCTCGGGTCTCAGGGTGGCGATTTTAGAGGCTGCCTGACTCTAGCGTTTAGAGCTTTGGGGTTAGGGTTGGGTCTTGGCTTTGAGCTGACGGTTCGGAATTTGTGCTGGGTTGTGAAACCCTGAACCCTGCGAAGAATCCGACCCGACCCAGGGTGTTTAGCTTCAGGCTCTGGCTTGGCTTGGCTCGGCGTTGACAAGACTGCGCAAGCTTGCCTGAGACCTTTGTTGCTTAAAACGCACGCACGCACGGAAGCACGCACCCACACACACGCACACACGCACATGCACACGCACATGCACACGCACACGCGAACACACACACACACAAACACACAAACAAACAGGCGCACACACGCGAGCACACAAACACACTCAAGCACACTCAAGCGATTAGACGCATCTTATTGACGTATTGCCTTTTCGACGAGGGTCCCAAACGCAAAATGATAGCGGTTTGGGCTATACACCCCCAAATGCAATCCAAGGAAAAATCATCGGCGAGTGTTGGGGTTAATTGGGAGGGGCGAAGCAACGGAAGATGAGCAATCAGCTAAATGATTCTTCTCGCAGAAGAAAACTCATTGGCGAATGATAGCGAATGTTAGCATGATTTACTGGCCGATTCCAAGCGCTAGCGATTCGGGGTTCGTTCCACATGCTACTCAGTAGCGACTTTAAAACGCTAGCGATTCCAGCAACTAGGCCGGCGACATAAAGCTGAACAAAAGAGAGTGTTGGGAAGTCTTGCCCAACCGAACTTTTTGTGTCGGCACATATTCTACGAATGCACATACATACTGCAGGGCGCACGTCAATAGCTTCGGCACATAGATTCGTGCCAGCCTTTATTCGAGATTGGCATGGCAGATAGCAAAGAACCCAATCGACAGGACAACGACGCCATGTTGTCTTACAAAGATCTACATCAATGCTCGTTTTCGCAACCCAGGCACCAGTGCTGGACGCAGCCAAGTATGAACGAGCTCACTTCCACCTGACAAGACGAAAGTCACCAATAAAATAGTACACCCCCACATGACAGCACGGAGCTCACTCACCGGCGTGATCAATGACAGTCACGGGTCAAGCCTAGTAGAGGAGCCACGTCCTCAGAACCAGCCTGCACCGAGGAATGGGACAGTGCTGCGTCGATGACCTTGGACATCCCCCGCTGTCACTCAGACTTGGCTGGCTACAACTGAATGGAGTCAAGCTGCGCAAAGGCCTCGCAGTGTCCTTTGAGACACGCTATCTGCCAGTCGGGCAGATTCTGCGGCCTGGGTTGTCAAGTGACTTCGCATTCTCTCGCAAGCTTTGGAGGCACCAGAATGCAATGATTCGGCCTCGCACTGCCCTTGTGAGGACATCGCAAGCCCCCAGAAAATCTCATGGCCGTGGTGCATTCTTCTTCTTCAGGAAGCCGTCAAACTGCTGTGTCTCGTCATCGTTCTGCAGATGTTCCAGCAGCGAGAGTACCGCAGCGTTGACGCCCTCGCGACCAGGGAATCTGGAGTTTCAGAATAGATGGGACCTCAATATAGAACCCTAGATGCATACAGCAAGCACTAGAATGCTCATTGGGAGCTGAAATAAGATTTTCTGCAAACCCCCTTAAATTTGTATGTTCCGAAGCATGTAATGAAGTATAATGAAGTACATGGCTGGTGCTGCTGCTTCGGAGCATCTTGACATGTTCGGATTGTTGCTGTAACACTCACCCTCTTTCGCACATCGTTGGCACACTCTGTCTTCGGACATCATTCCTCATCGTCGCGCGCACTGGGGTTTTCTGATTTATGGTCTCCTTCAGGGTACTTAGGACGACTTGACCATGCAGAGCACTATCGTTGGCTTGGCAAACCTCGGATGGCGACGAAGCCGATCTAAGCCCAAGACCCTAAACCCTAAACCCTAAAACCTAAACCCTAAACCCTAAACCCAAGACCCTGCACCCTCAAATCCAAAAAAAGCAAAGTCCGACCTCGGGGTCGGCTCTGCGCAGAACAGCCGCGGCCAGGTGGTACAACGAGGTCCCCATGGCCGAATCTAAGCAAAGATCGCGGGGTTTTAAGTTTGGGGACTTGGAGCGCAACACCTGAACTGCGGCAGGCTGCCGACTGCAACAAGATCAAGACTCCTGCAACAGTGAAGAACAAGTCTGAAAGGTTAGGATGCAAGGCCACCCCTTATGCCCATAGCTGCTGCCGGATGACCTCCCACCTCATCTGGAGCAGGCGCCTCACGCAGCACTGTGTCGGCCACCTGCCCATCCACAGATGTGGCAAAGCTACTGCAGCCTCTAATCGCCTCTACATGCCTGCATGTCGATTTCCCTCTCTGGCCGCAAAGCAGTTGATCAGAGAATGCTGTAAAGTTGACTACATGAAAATGCGTGCAGCTTCATCGCCTCCACAAGATCCGTTGTACTTCCACCCTCCTCGCGATACCATGTCGTGAGAGACCCACTCGCACAGCACTCTTCAGCTCACCCTCCGGCGTTCGAACATGCTCGGTGATAAATATGAAAGTACAACTATCATGGACGAAGACAACTGATAATGAGCAGCAAGTACTGGATGTAACCATCTCGGCGTTAATCTTGTTGAATCTCTGGCGTTGGTCTTACCATCTCGACGGTCATCATGCTTGTTGCTTGCACTCGTGTTACTCTTGGTGATGCTGCTACCGACTACTACCACTACTCCTCCTCCTCCTCCTACACGACGACGACGACGAACTAACTACTGCTACGACTACTACTACTACTACTACTACCACCACTACCACTACCACTACCACCACCACCACTCCTCCTCCTCCTCCCCCTCCTCCTCCTCCTGCTGCTGCTGCTTCTGCTGCTGCTGCTGCTGCTCCTTCTTCTACTGCTACCACCACTACCACGACCACGACCACGACCACGAGCACCACTGCTACCACCACTACTACTACTACTACTACTGCTACTACTATTACTACTACTACTACTACTACTACTACTACTTGTCAAGTTTTCACATTTTCTCGGGAGCAAAAAGCAAAAAGTAACATCGAAAAGTTAAGAATTGCATTCTCCAACATTCGAAATCGAAAATCCGAAAATTTAAAATTGCAAATTTTCAAGTTTTCGCTTTTTTGGGACAAAACAAAGCAAGAGTCAATTCGAAAATTAAAAAATTCAAATTTTTGGATTGAGACAAAACAAACAAGAGTCAAGTCGAAAAATTCAACAATCGAAAATTTCGAGAAGTCGAGAATTCAACAATTCCAATTTTCGAGTTTGCGAGTTTTCGCGTTTTTGGGTTGAGACAAGACACAGCAAGACCCAATTCGAAAATTGCAGAAAGTTCGAATTTTGAAGTTTTCGCTTTTTTGGGACAAAACAGAGCAAGAGTCAACTCGAAAATTCAAAAAACTCAAAAATTCATACTTTCTGGGTTGAGACAAAACAAAGCAAGAGTCAGTCGAAATTTCAAAAATCGAGCATTTCAAAATTCGAAACTTAGATTTTTTTGATTATTCGCTCATTTTGGGTTGAGACAAACTAAAGCAAGAGTCAACTCGAAAATTCAAAAAACGAAAATTTGGAGAAGTCGAAAATTCAAAAATTCCAATTTTCGATTTTTCGCGCTTTTGGGTTGAGACGAAACAAAGCAAGAATCAATTCTAAAACTGAAGAAAATTACATTTTTAAGTTTTCGCTTTTTTGGGTTTCGACAAAACAGAGCAAGAGTCAACTCGAAAATTCAACAGACTCGAAAATTCAAAGGTTGAGACAAAACAAAGCAAGAGTCAGCTCGAAAATTCAAAAAATCGCACATTTCGAAAATTCGAAAACTAGATTTTTTGAGTTTTCGCTCGTTTGGGTTGAGACAAACTAAAGCAAGAGTCAAATCGAAAATTCGAAATTTCGAGAATATCGAAAATTCGAACATTCGAATTTTCGAGCTTTTAGGTTGAGACATAGAGAATATGTTTTAGAATACAGTTGAATTTTCGAATTTTAGCGTTTTTCTCCTGACACAAAAAATTCGAGTTTTCGACTTTTCGGGTTTCTCGGGTGCTAGTCACCATTGCGTGCGCGACACACAAAACAACAGCACGGGGAACTAAGCATCTGTGGGATTCCGGGCGGCCAAGCACTTTGAACGCTGTTTGCACCCGCTTGGAAGCTGCTGCAGGACAGCCGAAGGCTGAGGTGTCCGACAAGCTTCTTGGCTTTCCATCACTGCGATGTCCGCAGTGTTATTTTGGGAGCAGACCAGTGCAGAATGTACTGGTAGTAGAATCATGGAATCAGCCTGCAAACCCGGACTGCTGAACACGAAGAGATTCAAGTCGGCCCTCCGCATAAGCGACGTAGTACCAGCCAAACATCCTGGTTCAAACTCTAGCCAGGATCCAAGTGGAAGTTCAACGCCAGCAGCAAGCAACAATGCAGCTGCACACTTTGATCCAGGAGTGGGCCGGTCTAAATCTAGGGATATCTAGTGCTTGATTTGTGCTGCAACATCACTGCACTGGGGCTGCTGAAACACGAGCCATGGAAGTGCTGTTGGGTTTGTTTTCTGTCGCAATGCAGGAGCAGCAGCGCGAGATCGTTACTGGCCAGCAGTGCTCAGGGGCCGTGCCGGGTGTGCTTGCAGGGATGCTCCAGTGCTCCGCGTGGGCCACGTCGGTGCCAAGGAACTGCTGAAGGGGCAGCTGACCATTCATTCGCAAGCACAAGCGGGAGCCTCGGTGTGTCGAACCTGACGGCGGAAAGTCGAAATTTGAACCCGCTCGGTTTCGATTGGGATGGGAGCCACCTACGACCTAAACATTGCGATGCATTGTAGGCCCTGCCCCAAATCAAAGTCCCCAAGCTGCCAAGCTCAATGGGCGAACAAGGCTTTCCCTCCGAGCCTGCATCTTGGCGTCAAGTTCAGACACTGCCATGATCGTGCATGCAGTCTGCATCAACTCAAGAAGAGAAGCTCATTAGCTCCTTCATGTCCTGGAGCTGCTTTGTCGGCGTGAGGGTACAGTTCTGTGCACTGACAGCGATACAAGAACGAGATATGCTCCTGAACTCCTGCCAGCAGGAGCTCGATGCCAACCACGAAGGATCCGTACATGTACATCGGCGATGATGTCCGAGCTCTCAGCCATTGAGTGTTCTAGAGCCTTCTGGGCTGTTGTGCTGTCGCATTGCGTTTTTTTGTAGGTCCGAGGCTGTGCCATGGGAGTTCAGATAGGAAGGAAAATCGCACACAATCTGAGAAGCCTGAAGATGAGCTCAGGAACGAGTTTCACGGGAACGGATCAACAACTCGATTGGCTTTACTTCTGTCAGTCTTGCCTTGCCCAGAGCTTGTCTAAGATGCCAAAGCTCCAGAACATGTGGCAGCAGATGCAGCTGGGCGCTGTGCAGGCCGCCTGCCGCTCCTCCTGATTCTGATACTGTTTTGTCCATTTCCTTCTTGTACGCACATTCATGCAAAGCTTATTTTTTGTCCAGGCCGAAGGAGACCTTGTCCTCAGACTCTGAGACATGAGAAAGGTGTGCGCTGGGCCCGAGGATGGCTGTTGCCGAGTTGCTTGATATGCTTTTTCGGAGGGCTTAGTCATTCGATGTCGCTGATCAAGTACAGGTTCCTGCTCAGTTGCCTCAGAATCAGCGTAGACATTCGGAGCGGCACCCTTGGGTTCGGAGGACAGTCTCAGGCCATGCATGTTTGTCGGGCCCTAAGCTGAGATCTACATGGGCTCGGAATGGTATGGCTGATTGGCAAGCCGGCACGAAGTCATGCTGAACTGTGCAGCCTCATGAGCTTGGTTCAGCAGAACCAGTAGCTTCGTACCGCCTCGTCAATTGGTCCTGCCGGATATGCTGTCTCGGAGAAATCTCCTCCGCATTCGTGGGTGTTCCTGCGATGTGCTTCTTTCCTTTTGGAGACAACTACTCAGGAACGGGAAGGCAACCCTCACAGAACGGGGACACTAATGCCCCGCTGTCCACGCAATTTTTCGTTCTTCATGGAATGGATTGCTTGCGGATTCTTCCTGTTTCTGAGCAGTTGACTGTAGCAGCTGCAGCAGCAGTCGTTTGTCTATTTGGGCATTGTTTCAATCAATCGTGAGACTGAGAAGTCCTCTGTGGAGACCACGCGTATGCAGGTTATGCAAAGCCCAGCGTGTGAGATCTCCACTGAGCCTTCCTGTGCTCTCCAAGTGTTCCGTGGTGTTGTCTTCAGACGCAAATTCACGGTCAGCTCACAAGAATTGTCTCATCAAGGATCCGTGTATTCAGAGAGGCAGAAGGTTCGGCTCATAAACCTTGACCCATGCAGGCGGTCACCCGACGTATGGGGGAAGGATCGAGCCGAACAGAAGCGAGTCGGCTAAACTGCTTCCCCGCGTTTATGCAGCATCTACGTTTGACGTGTGTCGCATGTCCCTGCAATTCCAGACAAAGTACGGGGTATTAGAGAGCAGGGTGTGCAATCAGCAGTGTGTGAATGCATTACAACTTGGTTCATGCGAGTTTACAGGTCAGGAATCTGTTGCAGGGACCCATGGAAGACTTCTCTGAGAGGAGCAGTGTACGAGTAGCTTCCCAATCAGCAAAGGACGGCCGGAGTCTGAAAAGCTTCCGAGGACAGAAGAAGTCTACAAGTGTCTTTGTGATTGGGGAAGCTCCTCGTCGCAAAAATGAGGCAGAAAGAGCCCATCGGAGACCTTGCTGAGCCCTTCGCGGGTAAACGTCAACACTCCGATGGCGACGCTCGAGCCATGCCATTAGTTTTCAGAGTGCTCGAAGCACGTGTTCAAGGCCTTCCCACAACTTTGCGGCTGACGACAGTCCCCCCCTTCCCCGAAGTTGTCCGGCCAGCACAAAGAGAGGGGGCATCAGCAATTCTGCAGTTGGCAAAGAGCAGGTTCTTTGCCTGGTCTGAGACGTCATTGGCAGAGCTGATCTGCATGAAGCTTCTGTTACTGGTGGTTTTCTTGCTTGCATGCCATTCCATCTTGACCCAGCACTGCCAATGTCCAAGATCG